TAGATAGATAGATAGATAGATAGATAGATAGATAGATAGATAGATAGATAGATAGATAGGTGTGTGTGGGTGTGAGTGTGGTAGCCAGTATGTAGCCTGTGTGTAGCTAGTGTGTAGCCGGTGTGTCACCAGTGGGTCACCATGTGTAGCCGGTGTGTAGCCAGTGTGTGTAGCCAGTGTGTAGCCGGTGTATAGCCGGTGTGTCTCCAGTGTGTCTCCGGTGTGTAGCCAGTGTGTAACCCGTGTGTAGCCGGTGTGTAGCCAGCGTGTAGCCGGTGTGTAGCCAGTGGTAGCCAGTGGTAGCCAGTGTATATGTACTAGTGTGTAGCCAGAGTGTAGCCGGTGTGTAGCCAGTGTGTAGCCAGTGTGTAGCTGGTGTGTAGCTAGTGTGTAGCTGGTGTGTAGCCAGTGTGTAGCCAGTGTGTAGCCGGTGTGTCTCCGGTGTGTAGCCAGTATGTAGCCGGTGTGTAGCCAGTGTGTAGCCAGTGTGTAGCCGGCGTGTAGCCAGTGTGCAGCCAGTGTGTAGCCGATATGTAGCCAGTTTGTAGCCAGTGTGTAGCCAGTGTGTAGCCAGTGCGTAGCCAGTGTGTACTAGCACCAGCCCGGGGTCCAGACGCCGCCATAGTTCTGAGGGTTGGACTTGGGATCAGCGGACGGGAAGTTGGGGGCCACATATCGTTTCTTGGCTGCCTCCAGCTTCCCCTCCATCATTTTCACCACATCCGGCAGTTTGTCGTACAGGTTGTTGTGCTCCGTTGGGTCATCTGTTGAGGGAAAAAAAAGAAGAAAGTAAAAAGTTTAATTTATTTAAGTAGGTTACATAAAAGAGATAAAAGTATGACTCAAGAAATATGTATCATGTTCTCAATTATCATCTGTTTTTGTTTGGGGGGGGGGGGGTTAATTAATAAAAATAATGCACACTAAAACGATGATTATAATTTAAGTTAATGCACTCAAAACAAAATTCTTAGAAGTAGGACAACAGTGAACATCGCAGAAAAAAAAATAAAAGATCGTATAGTGAGTGGTTGGCGGGTGCTCTGATGTGGTTTGCTCCTTCTTTCCAATCACACATCTATTGTCCTTATCTCTCCTCCTCCTTGTCTGTGTATGCTACTCTTTAGTAACGCTTGGTATCTGTGGCATGTATAATTATTACCTTTTTGCGTTGCTATTGCCGTAAAAGTCTTACTGAAGCTAAAGAATGTCTCAAAAAGGCTGCGGTCATTAGTCTATAAATAGATCGTGGCTGTTTGAGAGGGGGAACATATGAAACGTGAAGAGAAAAGGCAAACCTGTATAGATAGATAGATAGACAAACAGACAGACAGACAGACAAACAGACAGACAAACAGACAGACAGACAGACAGACAGACAGACAGACAGACAGACAGACAGACAGACAGACAGACAGACTTTGCCCCATTGGACAGTGACCTCCTAAGTAAAGGCCAACGTTCATGTATCTCGCTATCAGACATACCCGTGAGGTCACTGTTGCAAAAGCTGTCACCACTTAGCGTGGCTTGACAATTTTGAGCAAGCTATGTCTCTTTCCTGTCAGACACTGACCTCCTCCCCCC